CAGTGGTGGGGAATGTGTTTCTACTGGTACAAACTCACTTTCCCAACGTCTTTGAGCATATGGTGAAGTGGTGCTGAAGAAATGGTGAGTAATTACACCCAGACTCCCTCTGTGTCAGGTTTTGCAGCCTCTGCAGTGTTCACAGCCTCCCATGGCATTGTTCAGCTGTCTTGCTGTATTAATGGCTTTGAACTCTTGCTTGTAAGGGGAACGATTAAGGTGCTGCCACTTAGACATCAGACTTTTCTTCCTGCTTAATCTGTGATGAATATAACAGAGCTGATATGGTGATTGAAACCATAAATGCCTTCTGTGTGCAAGGGTTTCTAGGTGCTTCACCTTTTTGCCCCATTGATTTTGGGTCTTGAGTTGCTCTTGAGCAGCCTCTGGTAGGAGAGACCCTTTGCTTGTGATCTGGAGTTAAGTGTGCAGGCAGCTGGGTATTGAAAAGTGCTTTATAATCGAAGACAGAATAGTATCTGCAGTTGTGCAAAAGAATTGCAAGGTTGGAGACTTTAGGGAGAGATGATGAAACCTCCCATCTTCCTCATACACATTTTCACATGGTAGAATGGTTTGTGTTGGAAGGGACCTTCCAGATCATCTAGTTCCACCCCCTGCCATGGTCAGGGACACCTTCAATATGATATATTAGCAAATCTACCCTAGGAGACCAAAAGATTTTAGCCTGAGTTGAGTGGGAAGGAGGCTTTCAATTCCACAACATTTTAGTTGTGTTTTTCCTGTCCTGTATATGGGATGAAAAACGAAAATCTCCAAAATATTCTGCAAATGGAAAAACTTGAAAGAAAATAAAGTTGAGTCAATGTAAAGGCGAGGTGGCATAGTGATACATCACTCCAGGTACAGATTTTGTTTGTGTATTTTTTCCCAGATTTTGAAATAAATGGTATACTAGAAATGGTGTCTTTAAAAATGAAGCTAGTTTTGGGTATACTGAATGGCAAAAAGTGTGTTTCAGTAGTTTTCTAACCTTTTTTCCTGAAAGGTGATGAAAATTGAATAAAGAAAGCCATAGTTTTTTCTTTTTTCTTTTTTTTCTTTTTTTTTTTCCAAACTGTAGCAAGGGCTGATCCTGCTGTGCTGTACCAGGGGGAATGAACATAAATTTATATGCTCCCCGAAATCTGATCTACCTGACTGCCTCTGGAGGTCCTTCCAACTCTCACCCGCTTTTCTTGAACTTCCTAAGTTAACAAACCTTTTCTGTGTGTTGGATGAGAAAGGTGATTCCCCATCTCTGCTCATGTGATTTATGAGTCATTTGCTGATCCTCTTCCTGGAAATGGCCTTGTTTCAATAGAGTTTGTAGGGCAGCTTAGAATGAGTATCTCTTACTCTCTATATTACAATAAAATCACTAGGCAATGAAACACACTAAATTCTCACCTAAATAAATGCAGTTCAGTTAAAAATAAATGCTCACCTACCAGCCTCTTTTAAAAAGCAGAGAACTATAAAATGTAGACAGGCTGTATGGAGGGCTCTGACAGTGTTAATACATTTTTTTCCCCAGTGTTTGGAGAAATCTGATTTATTTAAAAAATCCTGGTGTGAATTTACCTGTCAACATTGCTGAAAATTTTTTTAAAATTCATATCTGAAGGATGTAGAAGTCCTTTGTATGAAATGAGGTTTGTTTTACATTCATCAGCTGCAGTTTAGGCACAAAAAGTGGCTTGTTGGGGGACTGGCACATGGCTAGAGAAAGCACAGCTTTGCTGAGCAGTGAGGGCAGAGCCCACCACTCATGGTTCTTATCTGGGACTTGCCAAAACACAAGACAGGACAGAGCCAACTCGTGATGGGCTGTGGTGACCGCACTCCTGGGGCTAACAGGGCATGGAATCCACTCGCCCAGAGATTCTGCCTGCAGTGTCCTCCCTAAATTACAACAACTCAGATAATTGAATCACATGGACTCACTGCTCCATTTTGTGTAAATAAATAAATAAAAATTAAGGTGGCTTAGTTTAAAGTGCACAGAGCACATGCATGTGAGCGGCTCTGTGAAGCAGCAGCATCTTCTGTGGGGATGCCTCTGCAGCAGAGAGGAGCTGATGTCTGGTGGCTGCTGCCCCACACAGGCAATGATAACGGGAAAATGTTCCTTGTCTCCTTCCTGGGGCCTCCTAATTCACTAGCTGTTATATTCTTTATATTCTTTGAGATAGGTGCTGTGCTTTGCTTTGCTTTACTCACAGTGATGATCCCTGGGATGATGATCACACACATTAGCCTGGCTGCTCCCTGACTGGGGCTGCTGTTGGTTGTGTCCATGTGATGGAATCTGCACTTAACTGATGGGAGAGGAAAATGAAAGAAAGGAAACATCTTACATCTTACTGGTCAACATCACCAAAAAAATTCAAAATCTGCACTGAACTGAGCTGTGCCGATAGTTTTGTTTCAGATCAGAGGGACTATTATATTTATTTTTCAAGTTTTCCTAATAAAAAAACCCTCCCACACCTCTGAGTTCCGAAAGGCAACATCAATTCATACTGAAAAATGGGAGCATCTTGTTTCCAAAACACTGTAACAAAATAACTGATGTTTACCCCTGCTTTTCACTCTTTCCTGCACGACAAAAACCAATTTGGCAAAGCTTGTATCCAGTTGTGAGATGTTTGGGTGCACCACAAGCTGTGCGTGGTTTTCTTCTGCAAAATCGAGTGCTGGGAAGTGACAAGTGTTCAGTGGAGCAGAAAAGTGAGAGGTTTTTTTCCCTGATCTTTGATGGATGATGAGCAGTACAGCAGCTAATGGAGAACTGATGCTACTGTGCTCAGATGCTGAGTCCACGGAAAAATTGTGTTGCTGCAAAGATATTGGTTCAATCCCCTTGAATGGCTGCAGCTAATTTAATAAGGGCATGACTGCAAGAGAAATTAGCTGAACAATTTTTAAGGTGGTATTACCTTGAAATTGCCATTCTCTTTAGAGGTTATACTGGTACAGTTGTAGTGCTGTAAGGTCAAAGCTTGTGTAGTCAAACAAGTGCAGGAATCCTCTTGGACCAGGCTCACACCAGCCAGCTCTTTCTCAGCAGCTTCTTTCATTGAACTCTTCTGTGGCAATCACTGCCTTTGAGTCTTCTCAAGATATTTGGGCCCTTGTGTTTCCTGAGCCCTCTCTCCTTGCTCTATTCCCCCAAATTCACACTGGACATAAGTGCACTTCCACTGTGGATACATTCTGTGAGATAAAGTGATGTCTCCTCAATTAGGAAATCTAAATCAAAATAAACTCTCTCTTGTCCTAGCTTGTGACATTTAGTAAATCTGCTGAAAGATGCCAAGTTTTGGAGTACTGCAGCAGAGATTTTCACACTTCAGCTGCAGATTTAGATGTTCTAGAATAGAAATAAAGCCTGACATAAATAATCTAATTAAGAAAATAACAACCACTAAAAGACCATGTGAATTTAGTACCTGGAATACTTATGCATATTGTAAATCCCTCAAGGGTGCCTGTCATAGGCTTCTGATGCCTGTGAATACTGCACAATCTTTTTCATATTGCATATCTCCGTTCTGGGGTTTTCCAGCACAGATTGTTCCCTACTGTCCCAAATGCCCAGCTGGGACATCAAGAGGTGAAACGTTTGTGCTGGGAAGAGTCAGAACCAGTCTTGGAAACAGGGTGGATTTGCCCAATTGCTGAATTTCACTGCCGTGTTTGTCTCTTTCATTTGAACTGCCTACAGGAACATCAATTCCTCTTGCAGGGGATAAACATTATATTAAAATGGAGCAGAGAAAGAAATAGCACAGACTAACATCCCCACTGAAGCACCACCTCTCCTTGGGGCAGCAGAAGTTGTCAGAAATCACGTCTGCAGTGCTGACACTTCAGTAGGGGGTTAACTGTGCCAGGGATCAGATGGATAATTCCCTTCAAAATTATTGTTTTACCTCGCTCCATCCAATTACTCAAGTTGTTTTGCTATCCCACAGATCTCTCCCTTAATGTCAACAAAATGATTATAGCCTGCAACAGCGTCAAGATGTTTCACCCACAGGAGCTCTGCTGAAATGTTTTATGGCGCTATGTGTTGAAAACAGCGTTTGATGTGTAAATGTCAGGAACAATCAGCTTCCCTGTCACAGAACAAAGAAGCACAAATACAGGCGCCAAAAATGTCACACACACACAACTAAAGGGCTGCTTTATCGCAAGGCATGTAAATCACTGTGTAAATGGCCAACATCAGTGTAGGTGATGGTGTGGAAAATCCACCACGTCACATTTCTGGTTCGGGAATTGCGATCGGCAGCACTGTCCTTGCTTTGGCATCGGTGCCTGAGCTCTGATGGTGGGGAGATGGACAGGGACAACCAAGGATGGCAACACTGAACACAGATCAAACCTCTCTGCTTGGGAGAAAAACAACTTTACACAGGAAGTAGAGGCACCCTGGGAGCCACACGGGCTGTGTAGAAATGGGTCACGATGCCTCCTTGGCCGTGTGGCTCTGGGGGCCTCACTTGGACACTCCCTTCTTGGCAGAACCTGCAGGATAAGGTTTTGTAACCATGAGGAGCATCTGCAGCCTGAAGCCTCTCACATCACGGGCACCAGGCAATGAATTCCGGTGTCCCCATAGTGGTGGTACCACCAAAACTCCCGACAGCCCCTTTTGTGTGCAGAAAGCAGTGGGGCAATGCTTGGATCTGCCATCTCCATCTCCCCATCCACCCTGGCCCTGGGGGTGCTGGAGAATGGGTGGGTCAAGTAAAGTTTTTTGTCAGTCCATTAAAAACCTTGTGATTCCGGTCCCTCTGATGCTGAGGCTCCCAGATCCACCGACAATGGTTTCTGCCATCCCCAACATATCGATCAAAACTTCATTTTTGCAAATGAACATTTATGAATTCCCTGGTGCATCAGCACTCCTCATTTCTTGGTAATTCAAGCTACAGATAATAGTTTGATGAAACAAGCCAGTCCTGAAAGCAGAAAATATTGAAATCTAGAAGATTTAATTTAATATTTTTATTACATATTTTGGAACCTTCATCATTCCCCCCCCCCCAAGGAATTTAATTACCTAAGGAAAATTGTACTACTGATTACAAGATTGCAGGTTCATTTTCATTGCTGAGAACTCTTTTTTTTTTTTTTACAGCTCACATTACACTTGCATGACTTGTTTTATAACATCTTGAAATTTTTTATGCCATGTTGCAGAAAGGTACTTATATAGAGAGAGATGAAAGAGGCAAAATACTTGTTTTGCAGTCTTTTTGAAGGGGAAAATATTGGTTTCTTAGTTTGAGTAGGCCTGCCTGTGGTTTCTTTGAGCTATTGGATAATGAGTTCACAGTGTGCTCCCAGGATCTGCCTTGCATTTGTCCTTCAGGCTGGGTGCAACGTGAGAAACTGAGAGAAGTGTCTTTAAAACATAGGGAATGCTTTCTATAGGGGAATAAAAATAAATTACTCAGAAATCTTGCATGAAATTATACTGGCAAGTATACTGTGGTAAATATTTGACAGATAGGACAACATTTTAGTCAGAATCTCAGTTTTTCCAATAAATCATTGCACCTGGGCCCTGTAAATCATAATTCATGTCAGCCAGCCCTGCATACTGAGTTAAGGTCAGGAGAGACTTCCAGACGTGTTATGATGATTATCTAACAATTCAGTTAATAGAGCCATAGAATTGGATGAGATTTTTGTCAATTCCCATGTCATAGCAACAGAGACCTTTGACGGAAACAACATTATGAATATTGGATAAGATCCTGCAGTGCTGCTCCTCCATGTTATTATTCAAGGATGAAGGTTATAAATACATGACTTGTACTGTTCATTTTCCAGTGGATAAAAACAAAGGAAAAAACCCCCATAAACAAGTTCCAATACACAACTAGATATAATATAGCTTTTTCTTTATATATATATATATATCTGTATATATATCAAGTAAAAAAATCTAAAATAGTTGGAAGTAAAAAATGAAAAAATAGCTGATTGTGTTATTTTTTCTTTACAATGATATGGTAGCAAATACAAGACAAATGAGTAATAAACCTTTACATAAGGAGTTCTGGTCCCACCTCCATCAATAGGGCTCAGAATAGAATAGAAAATGGAACAAGGTGGGTTTTGTTTTTTGGCTACAGCTTCTGCAAGTGACAAAGATTATGTTGATAAGACAGAAGGAAATCATAGCACTAAACAAAACACAACGAAACTCCAAAGTGTTTTCCAAAAGACCTTAAACACCATAGGGCACAATTTACTTCTGAACTGTGGGAGCAAACACAAAGCATCACCAAGTCCTACTGAGGCTGAAAATACTGTACACTTATCCTGGCCTCAATATACATCCTTTTTGTGCCATCTTACTACAAAAATACCCCAAAGCCCTTTATCAGTGCTTTCCTCCCTCCCCTGCAGCCATTAATAAAAAAGCCAAAGCCATAAATCCTTTGAATGGACCAAGCCAGATGCGAGACCTCAATGATGCTCAAGTGGTTGGCTGCCCTTTGTCCAGTGGTGAATTTTCCCCACAGTTCTTTACACTGAAACTGTCAATTGACTAAGCTTGGCGAATGGTCACACTGAGCCCTATTTTGGCTGTAGAAAAGAAAGAAGTACTAGTCCCAGCATCAAACAAGATCATATAGACGGTCAACACAAAACAGTAACTTCTTCAGTTGTCTGCATAATAATAACATCATGTTTGCATATAGAACAGCTTTTGCATTATTGCTCTACTTATAAGAATATCGTAAGGAACTTATAACAGACTTGCACATTACAAACTTAAGGTTCTTTGGTGAAGAATGAGAAAACAGTATTTTCACTGTAGTTAAATTTCAGAGAAGTTTTCATTCCTATCTGTTGATCCTTTGGATTCTCTCACAGAGGAGGGAAAGGTACTGAGTCAGCTTCACCATCGCGACGATGGCGACCCCGCCGATCATCATGCAGGTGGGCCAGAACAGGGAGTGGAACAGCACATTGGAGCTGTACAGTTTGGTTAATATCACGTTCTTTTGAACGCCCTCGGGGTCGTAGAAGCAGGAGAAGCGTTGGTACTTCCTGAAGTTTTCCATCACGACATTCACCAGGGACATGGATTCCTCATAGTTCTTCCCGCACTTGGGGATGTAGGAACACTGGGAAGAAATCAGAGGGAGAGAAACACATTTCTAAATTAGTCACAATGTCTGTTTTCAGGTGGCAAGTGGGAAAATCTCAAGATGATTATGCTTTTCATGAGAAGAGTGGAATACTATTACGCTAATAATAAATTTATCACAGCAAAACTCAATATTTTGCGCATCTATAGAATTTCCCATTGGAGAACCTCCAAGTGCTGTTCAAACATTAATGCTTTAATCTGCATAGTGCCTTGTGAGATAGGTGAATATATTATTATTGCTAATTTACACATGCAAAAATAGAACTGATGAAGTACCTCTTCATCTTAAGTGGCACACATATGCTCGCAGTTAGATGGGTAATTGACTCTCTGTAAATACAAATCTGGTAGTTTAGATCTCACTTGGCTCAGATAAAAGTGATCATAGTGGGCACAGGAGTTCACTCACACAGGAGAGGGATGATGAGAGACCTTTATACAGATTTTCCCATGAGACTAATGCCTCTACTAGAGACAAACAGACAGTCCAGGAGAAAATGCAGTTTTCCTGCTGACAGCCCAGAGGACTTTCATTCAGCCCTTTGCTGAAGATCAGCCTGGGTACCAGGATGGTTCCTTGTGTTGTTTTTGCTCTTGACTCCAGCATAAGTCCAACAGTTCCTTCTCTCGAAGATGCTCCTTGAATTTCAGTCTCAGTCACAAAGGAAAAAATAAATTAGGTGTGGCTCTACTTAGCACATTTGCAGCCTAGAGTTCCAGAGAACACTAAAGGCTAGTTAATTAAAAAGGCTACCCTATGGAGTCCCTGCACTGAAGATATTCCATGGGACATGTATGACAGCAGCCCTGGGCTGTGCTGCCCATTCCCTGCAAAGAGCCCATGTGGGCTGGTGAGGTGGTGGGCAGACACACAGAGGTTGAGGCCACACCTGGACCATTTTTTAACTAGAGCAGAAACCCCTGAACTTGCTGTTGGTGCTGCTGTTCTGGAAGAAGACTGATGGGAACAGCCCAGGGCCCCTCACTCCTATTCTCATTCATGCACTTATGCCCCTCCAAACTTCATGGGTTTCTATACCCTCACAAGATTTTGATTAACTGCTTCATGAAGGGTGGAAATCTGCTATTTGTCTTTTTGTTTAACGTGCATGGAGGGGGGAGAAAGTCACTGCTCCCTCATAGTTATGGGGTGACCCACCATGCTGGGTGGGACTGCCAAACCTGCTTGTCCTGGTGAGCACATAAAGCAGCTCCAGATAATTTAATGAAGAAGTGAGTTTTGCAAAGGAAAAAATGTGTTTTGATTACAATAATGTGACCCATGGCTTTGATTATTATTGTCATAATGTACATACTTTATAAAATGTCCCTTTGCTCTTTTTCATGACTCTGCTGTGACTTTTTTGCAACATACTGCGACAAGTCTCTAGTCCTAATTATGATCAAAGGATTAACCTCATAACAGGATTTGATTGATTCATTGGCAAGTTATTAGCATAGAATATGATTTGAAGCACAGCAGAAAGATTGTCTGGCGTTAGCAGACTGGAGCATTAATGGCAGAGCATGGCTGCACTGCCATTATGAATATTTCATAGAGCTCTAGAAATTAGCGATGGAAAATATCAGAGCAGCAATATCTCATCCATCTTCCTGCTGGTGCATGTCTGCTCCCTCCAGGATATTCTCGTGTACTCTGACCAGTTTTGCCTCAGATGTCCAAAGCCACAAGCCCTCTTCCAGTGCCCATGACTCTTCAACACACCATAATCTTCTAAGTAGGGGAAATTTCTCAGTGAAGCATAACTCATTTTCTTTTAATAGATTATGTGCTATCCCTGTCATAACAGCAGTATTTCATCTTGAAATGGGGTTTTGTTGTTTTGGTTTTTTTTCCTTGTTACTTTGTTGCTATACATTTTTGTTTCTGGAAGTCCCAGGAGGGAGGTGATTAAATGAGGACTCGGCCACTTTTGCCAAAATACAATTTTGAGAGCACCAGGGCCCTGCCATGATGGTGTTCTGCTGTGTTTCACGGGTGACTGATAAACAAATAGGACAACACAATAATGGGATGTGTTGATGTTTTCTTTGTTTTGATCTTCAGTATTTTTCTCCAGTGCCTGGCAAGGAATTTTATACCCACAATTGTTATGCTGCACCTGTGAATGTAGACTACCGAATCTATGCTGATTTATTACACTTCTGCATTGTCAAACACTTGGAAATCTGCAAGTAAACAATGTCTGGGGCTCTACCTCAAGTGAGGGTTCTGTGATACAAAGTGACAAAAGTGGTTCTTGTGTTACCTGCAGTCTGAGCACAAGAAGGACCTATCAGACAAACAGAACTTACTAAGTTTACAGCACTACTTTCTTAATATAAAGGATTGGATAGGTATCCTGTCTGAACTACCTCTGGACACATCCAGTCCAATGCCCTGCTCAGTGCAGATTTGCTCAGGGACTTGTCCCGTCAGATTATGAATATCTCCAAGGACGAAGATCACACAACTTCTCCAGGCGAGCTGGAGGCAGTTTTCTTTAAATCAATGATGCTACACTGAAAAAGCTGTTGAGAGAAAGGCTCCCAGTTGAGGCTGGGCAGTGAAATACATGACACTTGTCATACATCTGTGTTTGGGGCTGGTGTCCTTGCTGAGCCTGGAAACTTAGACAGGATGTGCTATGGCAATCTTTGTGAGACAATAGTCAGGATGCCAATTTACATCTATTTTGGCAAGTGAAACAGGTTTGGAGCAAGGGTTGAAGGAGCTTCATTTCTGCATTGGCCTGATATTGATTACTCCAATCAGAATTCTCCAGTTCCAGCCTAGGAATGAGTCTACTGGAATCCACAGCCGAGCATCTCTGCTCCCCCTCCCTGCACCAGGCAAACTCCTCCCTGGGTTATAAATACCTGAACCTTCAGTGAGAAACCCTGAGAACCCCCATCATTTCTGAGTCTCAGGCAGTTACAGCTGATTCCGGAGATGAAATCCTGCTTGTTATCTCCCTTATGGAGCACAGATATAAATCAGCAGCAGCTCCGGTGACACGAAAAGAATCAAAATGCTATAATATGAGATCAAAATGAGGCCTCTCTAATTGCTTTAACTACCACAGCCCCTCCTCAGGGGGGACAGCCTGGCTCTGTGGTCCGGGCACGAGGAGACACTGGCCCATTTACCAGAGGCTCTGGAAGCTGGAAGCTGAGGAAGGAAAGTGTAGCCATGGAAGCATTTAAACCATTTTGTCTGTGGTATTGACAAGGGGCTGGGTTTGTCCTAAAAGCTAAAGTGTGCACAGCAAGAGCAATGAAAAGCCATGAAAAATCTCGTGTGCTTTTCTTGGAAAGACTTGAGCAGCTTGACAGGAATCCACAGACTTCCCACTGATTCCCACCAGAGACTGGCAGCAGCATGCTGTAGATCTCAGTATAAATTGCACCTACCCCTTCTGAGCTGACAGCCAGGTTAGACAGCAAGTCTCCTGGATAAATCATTATTTAAAGTCAAAGTGGGTTTTGCTCCATCCCCGTTGGCTGGCGGGGAGAGGAGAGAGGCAGGCTCCAGCTCCTGCTGTGTGTGTGTGTGGTGGTGCTCAGTGAGGAGGCAGAGAGGTTGGTGAGGGGGTGCTGACCTTTTGAAGGTCACTGTTGTTGGCTTCAGAGGGTAAGAACTGTGCTCTGCAACATCTCCAGCGATGTCAGAGCTCAGTGAGCCAGGGATAGCTTTTTTATTTTGTTTATTTAGCAAGGAGAAAGACAGGCAACACAGATCTGAGCAGGTGGATGGAAAGACACAGCTAGTGCCCAACTGGAGCATCACTATCCAGTGCTGCTCAGGACTGCTCATCCCACAGCATGGGGATGCTCTCTGGCCAGGGAAGAGGGAGCTCCTGTCCAGGATGCTGAGACGGGTTCTGCTGATCTGAGCCAGGCACAAGAAGCCAGGTATTTTATTTTTGCAAACTTCCACTCAAAACTGCATTTGGATTCAGGTCACATAGCCAGCAGCATGTCAGGAAAACCTGGGAATCCTCCTGAGAGCAGAGCTTAACCTGTAAAACAACCTTGGTCTGGAGAAGTATTAACTGTGCCTACATTAAATTAAGAGAAGATGGCATCTGGGAGAATTTCAAAGTCCATTTCAGCAAGCAAAAATCATCAATAGCAGAGTGTGGAGATTTATGCCAAATCTCTTTATTTATTTGAATCAGCAGAGCACAGAGATTTATCTGATCTGTCCTAATCAACCTGAAGTGTGAGTGTCATGATTTTGCTTGTGCCCCAGCAGAAAGTGGGGTCTGTCTTCGCCTCAGGCTTCATGGGCAGTGAGTGCCTCTTTCTGTACTGATGCCTGAGAACAGGGGAAGAAAGGGACACTCTCCTCCATTTCACACTTCACACCCAGAGGACTCCATCTCTCAGCCACAGGAGTTAATTATCCAGCAGAATAAGCAGCCTAGTGCAACCATGCCATGCTTTGACTAATTTTAATATCACTTCATCTTAATATGCAGAAGTAATTTGGTCTACTGAACGACTGCCATAAATAGAAACACAATAGGTTACGTTGTCAGCAGGCTGAACTGGGGCTCTGCTATTCTGGGCTGTGATTTGCCCATAGTTTGGGGTTCAGTGACCTTGGATAACTGAGCAGTTAATGCAAATCTGGCACCTGTAAGTCTAACGATTTCACTGTGTCCCAGCTCACTGCACCTTGCAGTCCTGGGGACCCAGGCGCTGTAGATACGAAGAAAGGAAGGCGGGGAGCGGGACATTTCTTGGTCTAATTGTGCCTTGCTTTGTGGAAGGAGCAAGGAGCCACCTGTGAAGGCTGCCTCTCTCCTGGGTGTGATGCACAGCCCTGTGTCAGCCACGCAGCTGTGGCTGCGGCTGGCGGGGAGGTGCCTTCTGTGCATCTGCTGCCTCGTTACAGCCTCCAGACTGGAGCTGTCTCCATCCCACCTGCATGGAGTTAAGCTGGAGTTCGTACTTGCTGAAGCAAAGAGGTGAATTCTTCTCCAGATTGGTTCAAAATAATTTTTTTTCGGTTCAATGTCTGGAGCCAGGGAAGTTGTGCTGTAAAATGGGCTGACTACTCAGCTTGTTCACACCCCAAAGCCAGGCCTTTTATTTCTGTGTGGCTGCTTTTATCTCAACAGTCCCCACTCAGCAAACTTTTAGGATCTTTGCACCATCAGCAGTGGCACAGCTGACCTTGGTGGAGATGTTCAGGGTGCCGAGTTTGTCACCAGAGATGGAGGTGGGGACACGTGTGCTGTTGGACACAGGGCTCTCATCTCTCCCTGCCACCTTGGCTGGCCCTGCAGTAATGATGCCATTTCCATTCTCACCACTGTGGGTGCTCCATGCACATTGCTGGGGGTGTTCACTGACCTGCAGAGCCATCCCTGGGTGGGAAGTGACTTGTCCACAGCTCCACAAGAATATCAGTGTGACAAGTGCTTGGTGCTACCCTGCACCTGCAAAGCACTTGCAAAGGATGAAGGAGGCTCCAGCCTTCCAGGACCACACCCTGTGTGGCATGAGCTGTGCTCCCCACGTGGGATGGAGGTGGAAAACTGCCCCCTCCAGGCATGTAAGCTCAGTCTGTGCACCAATTTCTGCTTTCTCTGCTCTGTATTTCCCAGTGAAGCAGAAGCTGGAAGCCTTACATTGCTTTAAAGTGAGGAACGTGTATAACAAGGTGAGCAGCCCTCCAGAAACCCATTTAGGGAAGAAATTTTATTCTGTGCTCCTACCTCAGAATTAATTTTCATTGTTTCCTCGGTGTGGTAGAGCAGAAGCTTCTGGCCAGAAGAGGTGAGATTAACGTACACCTGGAGGCAGGGGTACTGAGAGATCTTCCAGCAGTCTGGGCCGCAGTTAAATGAGCAGTTGAAGGTTTCTGTGATGGATGCATTGAGAAGCGAGCACTGAGTCTCTTCTGTCCAGACACTAAGTAGGAAAAAAAGAGACATTAGAGCATGGCAAGAATGGGCAATAAGCACTAAACACATCTCAGGCTTCTCATTGGGGATGTACTGGGGGCATCTTGTAGGAGGGGGTACTTGTGACAGGGCTCTGAGCAAAGCCTGGGCTTTCTCACTTCACACATCACAGACAGTGTTTTATTCTGTAGTACCCAAAGTTCAGGTCTTGGGCACAAAATTACCCTGTTTACTTATGTCTATGCATAAATGAAAAGAGAACTGCAACTTTGATTCTGGAGAAGGTGTATTTGAAAGGGTATGAGCAGAGAGATAGAAGAAAACTGAGCAGCTTACCCTGGGGGCAGCACAGAGCACACAGAGCACAGAGGGCTGCATGACAAGACACCCTGGACTAAGACTTGAGAGTTAACCACCAAGTCCAGGTTAATTTAAAGTGACCTGGACAATTTTACCAGGGTATGCATGAAGACACAGTAACTCACAACGGGTACCCCATGCAGCTCGACCTATGGAAAAGCTTTTTCTAGTGGCAGCTTGCTCTGTTTTCTGTAAGCTAAGCCAATGGTTGTAATCATTCTGGGGATTTCAGCTTATCTCCAAACCACCAAAGGCTAAAACTGCAACACTGGAGCCTGGGTGTGCACCAGCAATGTTCACTTGGGTATCTGGTATGTATTTAAAAATATACTGCTGCATTTTGCTTGGGGAAAGGGCACATTGAGGGCTCTGTACAAAGCCCACTGGGGGAAGGTTTCATCCAAGGATCCCCTTTAACCCTATTCATCCCCTCAGCTCACCCCTAGTGTGGCTGTCCTGCCCTACCATGGAAGGGCTGAGGGTCTGCTTGCCCCTCACCAAACCTACAAAAAGCTTTACACAGTTAGAGATATCAAAAATTTCTGACTAATTCTGTCTATTTCTTTGGCAGTAATTCTGTTTGTGTATTTCATTTTGCATTTATATTAAATTATGCTGTGATTTCTGGGGGCAAATCAAGTGGAAGGATTTTTTTCCCCCTCCTGGGCAGTCCCCTGAGGACATCTGTCTGTGTGAAGAGAAGTGACAGCAAAGACTCCTGGGTTGTCTTCTCCTCACTTTCACCTTTCTGGCTGCTGTTTTATTCATGCAAGGGGGTAATAAAGTAACACCTACCTACCACAGACTTGTGAAGATGGAATATTTGATAATCTGTAGGTGCTTTGATATCTTCTGGCAATTTTTTCACATAGCTTGTAATATAAATCATCTCTTTCCACATGAGTTATTTTGACCTTAGCAGCCTCTGCAATTGACCCTGATATTGCTGAAAGGTCTGGGAGAGCAATTTGGAATAGCAAATGCTCTTGGATACTTAACAGGTCTTGATCTCAGTTTTCAAAATCTAAATTTTGTCTGGACTTGAATATGGACAAATAACTTTATTGCATAAATAAGATGCTGCAAATTAGTACAGCTCATCCTCATCACTACTTATTTCTTGTCATTGAAGGATCAAGAAGGAATATTCACTTGCAGGTGCACCAGTATAATTGAGGATGTTCATACCAATTAATTGTAAACACATACTGTATAGAAGCCTGTGGTGGATAAGCCAAAATGTGCCAGATATTGGCCACTGCCCCAGGGTAGTCTGGGGCATGACTGACTAATATTTTGATCCCTAGTTACACATTTTTCATTCTCCTAACTCCACCAATCAGGGCATAAAAAACATCACTGGCAGCCTTATTACAGTCTAGGCTGGGTTTTAAATAGGACTGGTGCTTGAAAACTGATTTCAGATGCTGCTAATGAATCACAGGCCAAACCCTCTGCTCGGTGGCAGAGGAGGAAGCCAGAGAAAGCCTCAGAAAATTTAAGTGCAGGGCAGTAATGATGAAAGATGATCTTTTTGCTTTCAGCAAATTACTACATTTCGTGAGAATTTCACTTGTTAAGATGAAAGTAATGACCGACATGTAAAACTACATGCTACAAAGAGCTTGATTTCCTTCCCAAATTAATTCTACATCCTTCATTTGAAAGTGTGTTGTTTCTCGAGGCTGTGAAATATTTTTGCTTTTTTTTGCCCTGAGTTTGGGCTTTGCAGCAACAACCCCTGAGAAGCTTACGGGGTTCAGCATTCTGCCGACCAGCTGATATGGATATTATACTGGTGTTAAGCTGTACCAAGTCTAAAGCCTGTGGATCAAGATTTTGTCAAACAGGGATCTAATTCTTTCCTCACTTTATGCTGGTATTACTCGAATTGCTTTCACTGTGGTTGTGCCTAATTTATTCTGGGGTAAGGTAAGGAAGAACAACCAGGTCTGCCTATGTTGACCAAAGGAAAAATTATAAAACTTTAATAAAAAGCGTCAAAAGAATAAACCACATGAAGTCAGCTGGAGCAGGGAGTGTGAGATCAGGGTCCATCAGGAAATTACCTTTGCATGTAGGAGCGCAGCAGGGTGATCCCCAGGAGGAAGTACATCATGATAGAGCACACCATCATGGCCAGCCCGAGGAGTATGGCCCGGTCTTCTCCAGCTTTTAGGGCTGTGACTGTTTTCCTTTTGTCCAGTAGGTCGTGATCCCTGATTTTTTGGTAAATATTTCTGAGGTTGAAAATAATACATTCTTATGTGAAGTTCATATTTAATCAATGAAGCCTCTACAGGGTGGGCAGTTCCACCTCCATACCCATCTCGTGGGAGAGAAAGGCTTAAGGATCCTCAGGTGTCCTTTTTCAATGGATTCACTCTGACCTGGTGGAAACTTATGCACCTCCAAAATAAATTACAGCCATTTCTGAAAAGGTAAAAACCTCTTACAGCGAATACAAAGATTAGACACTTGTGCCAGCTCAGTAAATCCTCCTTTGGTACAGCCTCTTTGGCTCAGTTGGATATACCATAGGTGCATTTGACCTGTCAATGCCTTCTTAGGCCACTGGAAGGTGTTCAGGTGTATGAAGTGTCTTTTCTTCAGCTGAATACAGCAACAGGGTCTTATGTTACCATATGTAGAAAATAACCTGAAGGAAAGTCGTCACTAACATTATCTGAAAGAACCATGTTCTCTTCTGATTCCCTACAGGCTACTGGTTTGGGCAATTTTCCACCCTGAGTGTGACTCAAAGCTCATGAAACACTATGGGGATTTTGCAATTGATTTCTGTGGGTTTTTTTGATTGTGAGCTTATTTATTGTATTCATAATATTATTTCTGGAAACCCACTTACTCATTACAGCGAAAATCCTCACAGAAAAGTATCCACCAGAGCTATTTGTTCTGGAATTAAAGGAAAAAAAAAAAAAGAAGATACAACAAACCATTCCCCCTTCAGCAGAGAGTCCTTTGCATTTTCTAACCACAAGTCCTTCTTTCATCTCCACGCCTTTGATGATTCAATGGGTCATGAGGACACAATGGTGAAGAAGGAAATATTTGAGTACATTTCAAACACACTCAAACTTTGTGGGTTTAAAATGTACTTACAGACCTGAGGCTGGTCAAAATCTCCTGTGTTTTCTGTTATGGTTCTTTTGAATCATCCAGGCAGCACCCGAAGCATGTGAACCGCACACCTCTGAGCCCTGGCACCACCATAACATGGACACAGTAGTACACGTGGAAGAAGTTCCTCTTCTACTGTCTGCAAAATGGCAGGTGAGCAACATCAACATCACTTTGGGCTCTGGCAAACCCACCACTCATTTAAGCTGAAACCACCAAGTTTCACTCAGCCGTGGAAAAAGACACTGAGTCAGATCAGCCAGATAACTTACGTTGACTATTAAGGACAGAGAAATAGAGTTAAGACAGATATAAAATCATACATAAACACAGCAGAAACAACAACAAGAAATATGTTTAATCATAGACTCCCTGAGACTGGAATTGAACTTGTATTTAGATGATGAGTCACAGTCAGGAAAAGCACATATGGTATGGGGTTTTATAGCAAAAATCTTGCTGCGATGGCACTGCAGTCAATAGTCTCCCGTACCCAAGACCCCTTGAAGTTTCTCCATCCAACTGTAATCTACATCTTTAGATGTCCATGCTTTCTCTTCAAAACCATCCTTTATAGCTTGTCAGTGTTTTCCTAGTTGGAAATGAAATGGTAATTCAACCTGTCAAAATTTTCTCTGGTGTTCAGGGGGAAAAAAATATATATATTGTGAGCTGGCAGATGCAATTGCCTTCAAAGAAGTAATGTAGAGTAATAATCTAATGTTACTTTTCTATTATTATTTATCAAACTGTATTTAACTCTGAGAGCTGCTATTAGGATTTGCATTGCTCCCAAGTGGAAGCAGGCAGGAAGGCAGAGATTGTCATGCAGTTCCAGCACATTAACCCATCACACAGCATAACTTATGTCGGCGCTTAGACATAAAACAGACACAGTGCAATCGCTCACCGGTGCTATCAGAGCAGCTAGGACATAAAAGGGATACAAATGGACAATTTAAAAACAAATAGCTAATTGAGGATGCTTACAAATACTTCCCATGCAGCCTCGAGCCAAGAAACACGCCATCAGAGGTAAGAAAAGGATGGGCTGAAGGGTATGTGGTAGAAATGAGCTATCTGGCAAAGGGGACTGGCAAAGGGGACAGTGTGTGGTGACCACCTGCCAGGTGTATCCTTCATGCTCACCTGCCACAGTAAATAAAGCAGAAGAAAGCTCTGCCTCCAAGGTCAGGCTCAGAGCCCTGGTTAAGTCACTTTTTTGCAAATATTTGTTCTTCAAAGCGCCAGGCAACAGCAAAGTGGTAGCCTGGTGCACCTCTCTGAGGAGCTTTTTCTCCTGAATCCCTGCCAGGCATCAGCCTGGTGACCACCCACTGAGGTGTGTGGTGGCGTGGCACGTGTCAGCGTGTGACACACCAGTTCCACAGCCCAGGAGACATGCTGAGTAACCCTCCCTCCTCCTCCTCACACACATGCCTGCATGGGGAGATGCCAGTTTTCTCTCTATGTATGGTACTGGGAACATCTGCTATTACCAAACTTCAAGTTTTTACCCATTAGAGCTCTGGTTTGGAGAACACAATACTTTGTGCACAATATTTGGCCGCCAACAGAGCAGCCTCAGCATTTCCTTTGTTGGAGCCATGGCCTGCTCATGTGTGTGTGCTGCTGCCACAGGGATGGACCTGTGAACTTTTGGCACAGCCCAGGGACCTCCTTCTGCTCGGTGAGCTGGAAGAATGCCGTGCTTAGCTGGCTGATTTTGGATCCCAGAGCTGCACAGCCACGTTTATCTGACTGCTGTGCGGTGTTTAAGTACAGATCACTGCATGCCAGACACTACTCATCTAGGTGGCTCCATCTAATATTTGTGATTACCTGTGACAACTCCCCACATGTGACACTGAGGGGGGCTGCTTGCTTTTATTCAAGTCCCAAGTGGCAGAACACTACTCTCTACCCTGTGCAAAGACACTTAATAGGAAGCATGCCTCCAAGGACAAAAGGTCTTTCCTCCCCTGATCGTTTCCAGACTGAATTGCTCCCTTGCTAAATCTCCATGTTCCTTTTGCCAAGTTGCTCAGAGGATATGGGCTGGCTGCTCTGTCCAGGCTCACCTGCCAGAGAGGAAAACTCAGCTGTGACCATGCCTGCTGGGGACAGAGCAGAGAATTCCCTCTCCGTGTCCCTCTGCACAGCAGCAGTGCAGGGATCCCTCTGCAGTGTGGTCAGCAGATCTTTACGTGATCTCCCACTCCAAAATAAGTAGATCTAGGAGCTCTGCAAAGGGTGTTGTTTCCTCATGGGAAAGCTAAAATAGCAATAACCAGGCATCTGCAATTACTTCCTCCCCCCCCCCCCCAAATAAACACAGATTACCTGCCTTCAAACCCCTTCCCTTGCAAATGGACCACGGTGAGATGCTGAGAGAGGCACTGTCTCCTCCAGCACCATGCAGTCATGGTGTTTGTCAGATGGAGGTGCCTCCCTGTCTAAATAATTCAGAATGACTTTGAATTCACATTCACTTCTCTGATATCACAGCTGTTATGCACATCTCACTCAAATTACCGCATGGTGAGGTGTTTACTGATATCACAAACCCTTGAATGCAGTGGTCAAAAACCTGTCCTGCATCTTACCTGCAGAATTCCCAGTGCTCAGGGACTTTTCTGCTCAGAAGCCAATTGCCTTATGTTTTTCTTTACAGGTATATTTAGCTGCATTAGTTTTTGTTACAAGACCTATGGCAACAGGAAATCTCTCTGGAGGTCTCAGAAAAGTCTCAGTGATGGTTGTAGAAGGATTCTTATTTATATTAATAGATTTTGTTCACTCAATTCCTTCCTTCTTCCCCACTGAACTGGACCAAACTGAACCAAACCAAACCAATGCTTTGGTTTCCCAAGCTTACAGTGCTGTGGAAAGCCTCACTGACACCTGAGAAAGAATGAGGACTTGAGTAGTTTTTCAGAGCATGAGAGGTGGCAGCTGGGGAACTGTGGATGGTTAAAACACCAATGAAATACATTTGGTGCTGATCCTGCAAAAAAAAAAAAAATGCCTGAGAGAGATACCTTCCACCCAGGAGGAGGTGATTTTTCTTTTACAGCAAGTGACTCATTACAGCACAGTTATTATTAAAGTGCAATCCCTCAAAAGTCTGTGGTTGCAGCATGTGTTAGGTGACAAGTTTGCTCATCTACATGACAATCTTCCTGTCTGAATTTTAAAGAATAAAATTCCTAGGAAAGGGTCATTTAAGGCAAGTCACTTCTCTCAAAGGCACCACCTGTTTGGTATAATGATGGTGCTGGTGACCTTACACGTGTCAAAATCCCTGCCAGACGCTGGTGGATGAATTTCTCCCACTGGCAACACTTGCTCTGTGTTCACACCTCTCTTCTGCAGCCCTCAGGCTGCCATCAGCACTCTCTTATTTCCATTTTCCTTTCCTCCCTTTCCCTCCTGCATTTCATTAATCACTCCCAAGGTCCAAACAATTCCTTCTGTATGGCTCTACAGCACCACTTGGGAAATAAACCCACCCAAAGGCTTGACAAGGCACCTGAATCTACCACGGCTGGTGTGTAGGCATAGAGATACTGTTCCCTCCTCCCTGTGTCTGCAGGCAGGCAGGGATGAGCCCTGCTGAGGGTTTAGGCTGACCAGATGCCAATGAACCCTGTTTAGCCCAGCCCTCAGCCCAGGTTAATCAGCCCCACTGCAAGGCATGGTGAGAATCAAAGGCAATGCTAATCAGGAGCACTTGGCTTCCAGCCAGCCCAAAGTGTGGGTAGATATCTCCTCCAAGTGTCTAACCTTGGACCATGACAGTGTTTCAATGCAGGAGAACATTAGCCTGGGGAAAATTCAATTAAAGAAGAGACTTGCAGAAGTACAGGAGGCAATTAGATAACCAGCTCCAACTGGAAGTTCATGGAAACCTGCTTCCAAGCTGGCCTTTTGCTCTTCAGAATATCTGTTTGGGATCAGGTGATCCAGAGAGCTGAACACCTATGAAACCTTTGCAGAAAAGGTCAGCAAATGGGCCAGTTCTCCAAAGAATCTCAGGGTCCTGAGGGCAGCTCTGCTGCTTGAATTCAGGAGCTCATTTTCCCAAGCAGATGCCAGCAGTAATGTCTCATTAGAATAACTGAAGAGTGTGTTTTGCTAATTGGCACTGTAGATGCATTGATATCTGTTTTTGTTTCACTGGAATCTGACTTTTTGTGATTGTGTGTAATAGTGAATGCAAGAGGAACTGAAGGAGAGGAGGGAAGGGGCAAAGGAAAGAAAAGAAAGGCAAATGTGTCCTTGTGACAGGACAAGCTGTCCAGCAAATCTCACTACAAAGGAGAGAGATTTTGGGAGGATGAGTCTGAGTATTACTGGCAATTGTTCTTTCATCAATGATATTTAACTTCTTTCGTTCCCAGGGGAGCACTGCCTTTGTCTGTGGACTTCAAACCTCTCCTTGCCTTTCCTTCTTTTTTGTGTATTTTCCTGCTCCTCTGGGAGATCCAGTAACTCATTTATTGCTGTCTCCTTCAGCCTGTTCCCTCCAGCAACACCACTTAAGTGGGCTGGTGAGCTACCAGTTCACTTTCAAGCAGCTTAGCATCCTCCAGCTACTGTGCAATCCTCTCACATGTGTCTGTATAACCAGAAAACATCTCTGACAGCTGGATGCATCACCCAGGTGTGTAAAAGCCATGTGGGGCAATGATCTGGCAGGGGGAGAGGAGGCACTGTGTGTGTGTGCTGTCTGGAGAGGGTGCAGGAGCGGTGTGGCCAATGGCTGGAAGCAGAAAGGACACCTGCAAAAAGCATGAAGGCTTCACAGGGCTTGGAACTGGGACTGCAGACCTAGGGCTGGGGATTAGTGTGTGTGTGCTGCCCTCAGAGATGGTCACGGTGTGCTGCTGATGTGTGAGAATAGGGAAGACTTTGGCCATGGCTGTGGCATTGCCCCTCCACCCTATGCTGGCATGGCAGGTTAATCCTGGCACTCACTGGCTGATCCTGTGCTCATGGAGCAGCAGCCAGGGTTGTGAGGCACAAGATGGACACCCTCTGCATCCCTCCTCCTTCTCCAGTGCCACCACTGGGGAAGAGCCACGGGCCGCGCTCCTGAAGATTCAAACCCGTAAGAGACAATCAGCACAGGTGCCGTTTACCTTTTCTCATCATGTCTGTAAGATGTAGAGCTCCGGCCACTGGTCCAAATAAACATTTTAGAGGGTTGCCCAGTGCTGGCTCTGCTCGCTGCAGTGGGACGATGGAAGGACCTGGGGGAAGAGGGATAATTTTTGTCACTGCCCATCCAACGTGGCAGAACACATAACATCCAGTGTGCCAAATCCCCTGTGGCCATGCCCAGTGTGCTCTGAAGATGGACTGTTTTTTTTAACTCAAGGTGAGATGTAAACTAATGGGGATGAGAGACCAGCATGTGAGAATGGAGAATAAATCCCATTAGCCCCACTGTTAAAAGGTGAGGCTGGCTAATCAGGCTTAGCTGTGCTCCACACTGCAAAGGATTCACACCGTGGGCAAGAAATCATCAGGAGTTTAAGAAAAGATAATAGCTGCATCCAGTGTTCTTATGGCAGTATTTCTGGGGAAAAAAAGGCTATTTTTTAAGCACATACACACTCATTACAGGGTTTTGGTTGTTCTGCAGCTCTCAGTAAGGTGAGGCTCTCAGGAAAGGCGTCTGAATGAGGCACAAGTATGAGATGTAAATGCAGCATTCTGTGGAAATGTAACTGATGTGACAAAGGTGTCTTTTCCCATGGAGAAATTACTATCCTGAGGCCATTTGGCCAGACCAGTTAGATCCCTGCCCAGGGGTATCTTTGTTTCACTGGAGGGTATGACACCTACTGCCCTCTCTCAGGGTCTCAGGTCATACTGGACTTGCTTTTGAGGCTGTGGCTCCCCTCATAGCCTCTCCTAATCTTCTCCTGGTTTTAGTGAGGCGCAGTTAAAAACCTCCATTTCTGAGGACTGGGCCCTTCCTGTGAGGGCTGTATTTTGCATTATTTCACAGCACAGCACTTTGTGGTTTTAATGCATTCAGATAAAAGCTTAAGGAAAAAAAAAAAAGAAATATTCCAGATAGTGAATACTTCAGTGCTGAAGTTTTTTATACACTGGGGGCCATTCTTTAACTCACTGAAAAATAAACCTGATGGTTGATGCTGTCAGCAGAGAAGGCACATGATCTGAAGAAGTCTGTAATGTCACTATCTACATAATCATGCAAAGGGCTAATTTCAATATTTGCATAGTGGTGAACCAGGAGAATACTTAAACACTGTAGAGGTGGCTGCAGGGGAAGACTGACATGGACGGGAGCCAAAATCCATCTGTATGCAGTCAGGCTGATGGGTGCCAAGGGACTGGGCTCTCCAACTGGAACCAGCCCAGGGCCCCATCTCAGGATCCCTGGTGCAGCCCCACGCCAAACTCACACCCCAGCTGGGCAGCTGGCTGGGCCAAACTGGTGGCCCCGTCACCTCCTCCCTGCTGGGGTCCAGCTGCCATGCTCAGAAATGCTGTCTTGGGACTGGGATTTACTTAAAATAAGAAGAGGCAATATTTAACAAAGCTTTTGTACTGCATTTGTGAACAGCAAATTGGACCAGAAGGCAGTCCAAAAGAAGGGAGGAGAAAGGAGAAGAATCTCCCCCAGCCCCTTCTCTGACTCTGTGGTAATCACTGCAGCCTGAGAGCCAAAAAGACTCTTCTTTCCTTGCGAGTGTAGTTAAGTATTGGGGAATAAACAACAAGATGAAGCACTTCCTCTCTGAAATAACTGTAGTTTAGAAGATGAAGTAGCTAAGGATGTAATCAATATAGCCAATGACTAAATATTTTCATGGTGATATTGGTCAGAAATTTCAGTGGTAAGATCTTGTGTCTAATCCTCACTCTGGTAGGTAAGATTTGCACCCATATTACTTAAGGCAGCACCACAGTGACCACCCAGCTGGTGTTTCTGCACAGAGCCACACAGGAGGGCTCAGAACAACTACCCAAGGGCCTGGAGAGCAGATTGGATGCTGGACTGAGTCTGTCCCAGGCTGAGTCCCTCAATGCTGGAAAATAAAATTACATATTTGCAACTGCGCCCTCCAGTCACACATGAATGGCATGATGGGAAAGCCTGGTTGGTTGTGCTACCACACTCTGAGTGGTCCCAGAGCCATCAGGAGACTGGTGATGAATGCTATTAGAGAGCCTGTTCTTAATTAAGCAAAACTTGGGCAAATGTTAGAGATGATCAACAGCTTCTGCCACCTGTCTGAGCCTACAGGGACACCTAGGCAAGAGTGCCTGGGCAGGGAGGCAGATTTGTAATGTCCAGAGCAAACTGCAAGAGCACTGCTGGGGTGAGAGGGATCTGTCCCACTGAGGGGATGCCAGAGGAGAAAAAGGGATGTCTCTCTTCCCACTAAGTTGGAGTGATTTCAGACTCCCTTATATTGCCAGTGCCCTGGAGCAGTCCATATGTGACAACATTAATGCTGCCTGCTTCATTAGTTGGGCAATCCAAGCTAACTACCACTATTTAACACACAATTGCACACCTAATTTTGTGTGAAATTGTAACACTGATGACATCATAGCAGCTAATCCAGGGGTCAGATGTAAGCGACTAAAGTCCATGGATCCTTTAGGCAGGGGTTAGATGAAAGGTAAGAATCTTTTGTGGACCAGTAACAACACAAACTTCCCAAGACCCACCTTGGAAGACTTTTGGAGGACATGTAACTGAGAACAGTTGCAACCTACATGACCATGTCCTGCCCCACCAGGCCAGTTAACAAACTTCCATGCTTTTCTCCTCCCCTGGGTTAGTCCCAAGGCAGGTTTAGAAACCTTTATCCTTCCCTGCCCCCTCTCTCTTTTCTGAGAAGACAAGAAGCACTACTTCTTTATTTTTTTTTTTGCCCATTGCCTCTAAGAGTCAGCTGCTGGCAACTTATTTTTATCATGCAACAAGTAATCAGCCTGTGAAACTCATTACTGCAGGATGTCAGCCTCACATTCAGAATCTATTGTGCTATTGCTTGAACAGACGGAGCATCTCAAGTCAAGACAATACCTGTTAAAAATAGAGAAGAGGAGATGCCTCAAGCTGCTTTTTGACTATCAGGAATCTGTGGGGGGATATCCCTATAGGGCAGGTTATCCATAACATCCTGTGCTTGATGTGACTTTTGTTAGAGTTGGAACTCTGGGATTTCTCCCTGACTTTGCCCAAATATCCCTGTCTCCTTCACTATTTACCCGTGTGGCAACAACACAGCTGTCTCTTGACGTGGTTGCCACAGAGACAGGAGACCAAGCTCTGGTTTTTACAAAACACACCTCATTCTTCATGTTTGGGTCTATTCTGAATAAATACATAAGGTTAAAGAGAGAAACACAGAGTAAAAAGTGCACAGTGTCCTACAAATACGTGGGCCTGCAATGCTGTCACAGCCTGCCCATGGCTGATCCACTCCTCTCATCCCCTGTTCTCATCCTCCTCTTGAACTATACCTTCTGCTGGATCTCATGGAACTCACTAGAAACACTGACAAGCTTTCCACTTTTCCAGCTATAGAAAGATCAAGACTTGAAATAGTTCTTATAAGATTAGAATTGTTCTGCTGTGTCCTAAGGAGTCCACACAAAAAGTTCTCTCTGCCTGAGAGAGAACTTCAGTGTGAAGAAAACATGCCAGGACAGGATTTGCTTCCATTTTCTCCGAAAAAGGATGTAATTCTGAGGGTGAATTGCAGGATCCCTTAGCTGGTACCTTGGGAACTATGTTATGTGCTCCGTAGTCCTCGTTTTCACCCTGAGCTGGCTGTTGTCCTTCCTCGGGTTTTGGTTTTTGCCAGATTGGTATGAAAAATCCCTTACCTCTAGGTCACCACATCTGTGAACAGCCAAAGAGGGATACTGCAGAGCATGTTTCTACATGGAAAGCTGGGTTTTATATATGTGTTTGTTGGTAATTGCCTCTGTCTATGTTTATGTTAATCATTGGGTTTCTGAGACCTTGGAGAACCATTTACAGCACCAAACTAATGAGCTTTGCTCCCCTTATGGCATTTCATTTCCTGGGCAGTGTGGCCACTGTAAAAAGAGAAGCACTTGCATTAATTTTACCTCATAAAAGACACCCTGAGTCATCAAAAGGCAACAAAAGCATTCACTTAAAGATATAATCACTGACCACATCAGCTTTGTCTGAATACACCCCCATCCAACACTGTCTATGCTGACAAGTGCTCTGGATACTGGAAGCTTCCCAGCCAGGGGATTCATTTGAACCCCAAGGCAGCTTTCTGTGAACCCCAGAGTTTTCCTATTAGTCCACTAATTAACCTTTCCCAGTGCCACCACACAGCTGCCTGTGCCTGTTCATGGACAGACAGACCAGCTGTTGTTGAGGAATGGGAGATATTTGATCTCTCTCATGATTGGATAGACCCTTTTTTTTGGAGTGGTCCCACCCACCATCACCCATGGGATAAGGAAGAGACTCAAACCAAGCATCAAAGGCAACCTGCAAGGAGATGGTGGCTCACTTTGAGGGGAATTCACTGAGTATGAACAATTAGACTTTAAGTCCCAATAGGTCTTATGTATGTCTATACTTGATGATAGCGTGTTCTCCTGTGGCTTTGATGAGCCAGAAAACAGAGAGAAGTATTGTGTGATGAAGGATAGGAAAGTAAATAAAGTGGCCTGTTGAATTTTTGATGTAAAGCACAGCCTGACTGGAGGGTAATCTGGCATTTAGGTGCCTTAGAGCATGGTACAATCTCCCAGGCAGAGTGGTGGAGGTAACTGCTGTTCAAAGACAATCCTCTCTGTTTCAGGAGTTGATCCAGGCGAGTTTTCCAGTCCTGGTATTGAAAGAATGAAAGAGCTGGACCCAGGGCCCTTGTCTGCATCCAAAATGGAAGGACAGCAAGCACGGACCAACAAGAACAGCAATAAGCTGACTCACAAAAGAAATGCATCTGCATTAGCAGAAGACAGTCACCACTTAGGGAACATTTAAGGCTCTGGCAGCAGCAGCTCTAAATTGTGTAGCAGCAACAGCAATATCAAATGGTGTATTTCTGCCTCGTGACTGGACTCTGCTTCTCCCCAGGCTAATGGGCCCAGTGCAGGACAGAGGGACATAAATTACTGTCCTTGTTGCAGTGTCTCAGGAGCTCCAGCTGCACTAACTGACTAATCCAACGGCAAATGACCTTGAATTTGGGGTTCCTAATTA